GGAAGCCTTCTTGGCCACGCTTGGCCGTTTCGTGTCGCGGCGCGGCTTGCCTGACTTGATCCGGTCGGACTGCGGGACGAATTATAAGGGCACGGATAGGTATCTCAAGGAGGTCGTCGAATTTCTGTCCAGCCACCGGGCTTATTTAGGAAATGCGATGTCGAAAACGGGCATCCAGTGGAAATTCGACCCTCCGGCGTGTCCCCACTGGGGCGGTATTTTCGAGGCGGTGGTTAAGGTTGCCAAAACGCATCTCCGTCGCGTTATTGGTGAAGCCATTTTGACATTTGAGGAGCTCGCCACTGTATTCTGTAAAATTGAGGCGGTACTCAACTCTCGGCCCCTCTGTCCCCTCTCCTCTGACCCGAATGATTTGGAGGTTCTAACCCCGGGACACTTCCTGATTGGCCAGCCTCTTAACGCTCTGCCCGAGTATCCCTTCAGGGAAACGAGTGCTTCACGGCTTAGCAGGTTTGCCCTGCTGCAACAGATGACTCAACGCTTTTGGCACCGATGGTCTCTGGAGTACCTACATCTTTTGCAGCAGCGCGTTAAGTGGTCTGACAAGACGGAGCCTCCTCGGGTGGGAGACCTCGTGTTGATTAAAGAACCAAACGCGCTACCTTTGTATTGGCGCCGTGGGCGCATTGTTAAACTGTCGTATGGAACGGATGGGGTGCCTAGAGTGGCCGAGGTTTTGGTCGGAGATTCGGTCTTGCAACGGGCCGTCGCGACCTTGTCCCGTTTGCCAATCTACTCGCGGACTTAATGCCTTATGTCCGGGGCGGGGGGTTGTTTAGGCAGGAAAAATTTACAATAAAAACGTAGTTTTTAACGCGCGCGTTTGGCCTCGATATCAAGGGCACCTTCCCTCTCCCCCGCTCCCCCCCCCCCCCGGCCGCCGGACGCGTCGGCGTGGCACTTCTCGTGAATATAGTAGGATTTTCTTGCGAGCTATACGGACGTATGTTTTCGCGCCTAACTTTGCTAAAGGAACAATCCGCGTAAATCGTTGCAATAACGGTATCGTTATTAGAACGTACTAACTCGGTCAAATTCGCGTGCAACTATCACAGTGATTTACCTCTGAAGGACTACGAGTAGCTGTCCCATTTCGTGACAACCCATTACGAGTGCCTCCAGAAGGGGGAAGTTCCGGGGATACCAGCGCGTGCCTTCTCCCGGACGTCGTTGCGTCATCCAGATCGATTCCCGTCAACATACCAGCACATACAATTACACATACACTCACAACACTGTCATCAGCTGGGCCGGTCGAGGAGAATCGCCTGCGCTCCTGGGGCAGGTAAGTGCATTTATCCTAGTGACCTTTCCCCTCGTGTGTTCATTAGAAACATTTGACCCTCGGCGTAGGAACGCCCGACCAGCATCTGCCCGTGGCTCCGTCTATGGGCCGCGAAGGATCCAACTCCTGTTGAGGCAGGGCAGCTGTTGGCCGTATCACATACTGTAAAATCTAGTAGTGAGTGGAATGTTAACCTAAAGATTAATAATAAGTCTGTTAATTTTAAATTAGATACTGGGGCAGATGTTAATATATTGCCGTTGTATTATTTGCCACAAATTGTGGTCTCGAATAAAGATTTGCTAAAAACAAATACCAAGTTGTCTGGCTACTCGGGCACCGCCATAAAAGTAGTAGGAAAAATCACTTTAAAGGTTTATTACAAAAGTAAAATGTACATGCTAGAATTTAAAATAGCAGATGTTAAGTCTATGCCGGTCTTAGGCAGGTTTGCGTGCAGTGAGTTGGATATGGTGAGGCGCGTGATGTCGATACAGGAGGATAGCGGAGTTCCCTCATTTATAGGGCTGGGGATACCGGGGAAATACAGAATAAAATTACATGAAAATGTCGTACCGGTTGTTCATGCTCCTAGGAAAATACCGTTTGCGATTAGAGACAACGTTAAAATGAAATTGGAAGAGATGGAAATGCAAGGCATTATAGCCAAAGTAGAGGGCCCATCGGATTGGGTAAGTAGTTTAACTATTGTTAAAAAAGCTAATGGAGACATACGAGTTTGTCTTAATCCAAAGGAATTAAATAGCGCGATCAAAAGAGAATATTTTAGGTTACCGTCACTCGACGAGATTGTATCAAAACTTTCAGATGCAAGGTATTTCAGTACTCTTGATGCGGTAGCGGGGTTCTGGCAGGTGGCTTTAGACGATACTAGCGAGTTGTGCACGTTCAACACTCCCTTCGGACGTTACAAATTCTTAAGGTTACCCTATGGCATATGCTCGGCACCAGAGGTTTTCCATAAAAAAATATACGAAAATTTTGATGACTTAGATGGAGTTTGTATGTACATCGACGACTTATTAATATACGGTAGCAGCAAAAAAGAACATGATGAAAGATTAAAATTAGTATTGGACAGGTGCAGGAAAGTCAACCTCAAACTAAATAAAAATAAGTGCAAATTTGGTTTAGAAGAAATCAGGTATTTGGGACACAGGATTACAAAAAAGGGGCTTTATCCGGATAACTCACACATTACAGCAATTACGAACATGCCTAAACCTGAAAATAAAAAGGACGTAGAGCGATTACTAGGACTAATCACTTACGTGGGCGCTTTTATACCAAATTTATCTGATAAGACATTGTTTTTGAGAGAGTTGTTAAAAAAAGAAACTGAATGGCACTGGGATGAACGACATGATGAGTGTTTAAAAGTTATAAAAGAGTGTTTATCAAAACCACCAGTGTTAAGATATTACGACTTAGACCTCCCTATTACTATCTCAGTTGATGCGAGCAAAAGCGGCTTAGGTGCCTGTTTAATGCAAAATGGAATGCCAGTTTGTTATGCGTCTAAGTCATTGTCAAAAGCAGAACAGCGATATGCTCAGATAGAGGAGTTATACGCTTGCGTTTTTGCTTGTGAGAGGTTTCATGCGTACATTTACGGAAGAACAGATGTAGTTATCGAAACTGACCACAAGCCACTCGTTAGCATTATAAAGAAACTATTAGCGGACTCACCATCGCGCCTACAACGGATGTTATTGAAATTAAAACACTATACTTTCAAATTAGTCTACAAGGCCGGTAAACATCTATTTATTGCTGACGCGTTGTCACGGGCATACGAGCCGGAGCCAGCGTTGCGCGCTCAACGCAAGGTAAAGCAAAAAAGCGCAAGCTTTTAGCGCTGACTATACGCATCACGATGAAGTTTGCGCGATCACTAGAGATATGGCATTGAGCGCAGTGACTGAAGTTACGGACTTGCAGTTTATTAAGTTGCAAAAGAGTTCAGAAAATGATGATGAACTCGCGTTGTTGAGAAAATACATAACAGAAGGGTGGCCAGCAAACAAACATGACGTCATAGATTTGGTAGAGCCATATTGGGGCTATAAAGAGCATTTATCGAGCGCGTACGGTCTAGTCTGGAAGGATCAAAGGATAGTGGTGCCAAAACTCTTAAGAAAAGATTTGTACAACTTCAGTGAGCATAATTGAAACCCTAAAAAACATATTTAGCCGTCAGGGTATACCGAACGTAGTAATGTCTGATTGTGGTCCGCAGTTTTCGTCAAGCCTGTTTAGACAGTTTTCGTTAGAATGGAATTTCAAACACATAACCTCATCGCCACGCTATCCGCAATCTAACGGACAAATTGAGCGAATGGTACAAACTGTAAAAAACATAATACTTAAAAGTAAAGAAGATGGAGTTGATTATCGATTGGCGTTACTAGAGTATCTTAACACACCTTTAGAAAATGATATATCATCACCAGCTGAGTTATTGCAATGTAGGAAATTCAGAAGTATGTTACCAAAGTTAGATCACACTTTAAAACCAAAATTACAAAAAAAAATGTACATAATAAACTAGTCATGAGGCAAAATAATAAAAAATACTACTACGACCGACATACGAGAAATCTAGACCAATTAAGTAACGGACAAAAAGTAAGGGTACTACTAGATGTAAATAAAAGAGAATGGTTATCAGGGACAATATTATGTCAGCTGCGATATCGTTCATATAAAATAAAATTAGCAAACGGGAGCATTATTATACGTAACAGACGCCATATTATTAAAGATTCTCCACATAGACAGGACGCGCCGCACTATACTTTAAACAATTACGATGATGTCCGACCTCACTGCCCGCAAAACAATCAGGTTTCCAACGGTACTATACCTTCTGAAGCCTCACCTAATACAGTAAACAACAATAATTATTATGTCACACGTTCCGGCACGACAGTGAAGCCACCGGATAGATTAGGCTTCGAACACTGAACAGCGGTGATGAACAGGTGCGCAGCTGCATCGCCACAGTCACCGTGTTCAGTGAAAACTAAACCATAAATTGAAACGTATGCTCAAATAATTAAAATAAAGTATGTAAAAAAAAATGTAAACTATCAAAACCAGGCATGATATTCTTTTTTTTTTGTTATTTTGTTTTGTTGGTCCCAGGTTCGATTCCCGACTGGACTTTAATTTGTGCTAGTTAGTATATTATTTTAGATTTATTACTTAAGAAATGAAATATAATTGGTTTATTACATTTAAAATAAAATAAGTATTACTTATAAAAAAAAAGGAATTGATCGGATTAAAAAAAATTAATTTAAGTAAATAAATGAACATTTCATACTCAAATTTTATTGTAATTCCAGTGAGTAAGAGAGGGGAAGATGAGTATTTAGAGAGATATAATTCACAATAATGTATTATTAATCAGAATAATTTACTAATTTAATATACATATATAATATTATATTATACATCTATTGCTTATCTATTTATAGTGAAAATACCTATCAATTGTCTTACTATTTTTGTGATGAAAATAGGCAAGAGTAAAATACCATATTAATTTTGTTCTTTATGACTAAGAAGGGAGATGTGAGAGATTATTGTAATAGTTGAGGGTGGATATGAATAAATCAGTCTCAGCTCGATCTCTGTGTTTGATTGCCGCCTTCCCATGTTGACAAAGGTGACTACAACCACTTCATACCACCCACAAAGCAACGGTATGGTAGAAAGACTACATCGGCAGATAAAAACTGCAATTAGGTGCCACAATAACCCGCATTGGACAGAAATCCTTCCACTAGTGCTTCTAGGTATAAGAAGCGCCTGGAAAGAGGACCTCAAAACATCAACCGCAGAATTGGTATACGGAGAACCTCTACGATTACCAGGGGAGTTCTTCGTTCCCTCACCAGACTTCACCGCTGACATCAAGGATTTTGCATCTCGCCTTCGACGTCACATGGCTAATTTAACACCTCGCCCAGCTACATGGCACGGAACTAAAACTTTCTACATCCCTAAAGATCTTCAGACGGCAGAATACGTTTTCTTGCGTCAGGGTACAGCTACACCACCATTGGAACCTCCTTATTCAGGCCCATATAAAGTCCTGGAAAGGGTCCCTAAGACCTTCAAATTAATAGTTAAAGGTACAGAAAGTACGGTTACTATAGACCGACTCAAACCTGCTTACCTTCACAGCAATGGATCACCTGCTTATCCAGAAGAAATAACACATACAGAAAAGGAAGCCCAGGCCCCCACAACGGGTCAAAGTGAAAGTACTCTGAAGAAAACGAATAGCGGAAGAGTAGTGCGCTTCCTAGATTACTATCGCCCGTGAAACGGTCTCGGCAGGGGAGTGATGTGGCATACCACCTTTAAATAAATTTGAATGTTATTATTGATTAATAAAAATAAATACATTTTATCTATAAAATCACATTTTCAAAATTCTATATTAACTAAATCATATAAATTATAATAAATATTTTTGTATAAATTCAGTAGCTAAAACAACGTAAAATTTTAATTATTAAATCTTAAGAAATTCTACTTACCAACTTCTCCGTATGAATCGTTAGTTAAATTGTTAACAATATTTTTGTATTGAAGTACTTGTGTCCGCTTCACCGGTCAAGTGCATTAGATATTGAATTAGTAATGAGATGCATTCGCTGCGGTAGCTCGTGCCACGCTCGCCCATAATTACTCCGCGAATTATTGAAAATCCAGTGTAGTATTTAAAAATATTCGCGTACTTAGTTTAAATCATAGACTTAGGATATACTGGCGTATAGACGACCTGACAGCCCGAAAACGCGTGACCAATTTTAATTTGTTATGGTGGCCACTCACGGTCAGTTAAACTGAACAGTTTAACTGATGTACATCCAAAAACTGACCGTGAATGCGAAATCTTAAGTTGAAATTTTTAACTGAAGGCAACACACGGATTTTTTCGGGCGTGCTGTCAGTTAAACTGCTCAGTCGAACTGACGTACATCCAAAAACTGATCGTGAATGTGAAATCTTAAGTTCAAATTTTTAACTGACGGCAACCCACGTATTTTTCCGGGCGCACCGTAATCCGCTGGCTTCAGTTCGTTTCCATTATTGGTAAGTACATACTTTCTTAGCAGCTACTTACATTATTTGTATGCTGTTTAGATTTTATATTATTTTACATATTTAGAGAAGTTGTTTTGACGGAGAATGGAGACCAAGGTGATTGTAATGATGTCGCCTTCCTTATGGTGGACTCAGAAGGTGGGTAAAGGATCTCAGTGATGCTACTACGTAGAACTATCGTGTTTGGACTCATTTTCAAATAGGTAAACGGAGACCTAGATGATTGTGATGATATCACCTTTATGTTGGTGCAATCCGAAGGTGGTATAGGATCTCAGTGATGACATTAGATAGAATGACCGCGTTTGAACTCATTTGAATGGACTCATAAAGACCTAGGTGACTTTTATAACCTCACCTCTCTGATGGTGCAATCCGAAGGTGGGTATAGGATCTCAGTGACGGCACTAGATGAACGATCGTGTTTGAACACATTTGAAAGGGCTTATAAAGACCTAGGTGACTTTTATAACCTCACCTCTTTGATGGTGCAATCCGAAGGTGGACGGCACTAAGTAGAATGATCGTGTTTGAACTCATTTGAAAAGGATTTATAAAGACCTAGTTCAATGTGATTCTAATACCTTCATGATGGTGAACTAAGAAGGTGGGGCAAAAGATAAAAATAAATAATACATTTATTAAAAAAATAAAATTTACCATAATGAATAAAATTATCATAATATCTGCCCATTTCTTAAAAGTGTCTTAATACTGACCTTATCATGAATAAAAATATCTTTTGAAGTGTTAATATATTTATATATATATATATATATATATATATACGGAACGGATTTCATTTCTCGTTCGACGGGGCCGCTGCCGTGCGCGTTTAGTTGGCGTGACTCCTATAAATTAAAAATATCATTTCCTATCTATTAACTAGCAACTTCGCCCGCGTGTAATTTATTACGATTGGATTTCATGGGTTTTAATGTTTTTGCGCGGAACCTTTTTCTAAATTAAAAGTAGCCTAAGTTCCTCCTTATAATATCAGCTATCTGCCACTGAACGTCTCGTCAAAATTGGTTTAGCCGATTCGGAGATTAGCCGGAATATATAGACAGACAGACAGAAAGACAGACAAAAATTTTAAAAATTGTGTTTTTGTTATAAGTACCGTATGTACTTTCATATGTATTTAGTAAAAACTGTTAATTTGGCAATACAAACACACACTTCAATTCTATTTATTTGTATAGATATATATTAATATACAGGAAATGATTTAAAATAAGATTTAGATATTATTAAATATCATTTAATTTATCTATATATATATGATATTTTATAGGAGTCACCCAAACCAAACGCCCACGGCCACGCCCCACGTTTGAACTAGGGCTGTTGACAAAATATCGATATATCGAAAAATCTACTTTATTATTTAGAAAAATCGATATTTATTTCTAATATTTTTGGTCGACATATATTGTAATATAAGTTTGATATTGAAATATACATATAAGACAGTCGATATATTTTTTAAAATAATTTAATATTTTATTTTTTCACGTAAATAATTTAATCTACAACACCATTGTAAACTTAAATCCTAATCCTTGATGGACCCAATCTACTATACTTTATTTACACTATATTATGTTTTTCATTTTTCCCCAGTTTTTTATTTGCTTATTATCTTAAAAAGAAATGTAATCTTGTATAGTATATCTCAGTGATATTAAAATCAATATAATCTATTAAACTTAGTACTACTTTACTTACTGTGAGTTTTGGCAGGAGCTTGATCATCGACGGATAGTTGCTCCTGTATTATCGTTTAAATAATCGTTTGAAGTGGATTTTTATCAAAGTGATGCGATTATGTGTATTAAGTGGTTGCGCATGTAAGCTATTAGAGAAAACGACGAAATAAGTGCTTCGATGTTGGTATAAGCCTCAAGTTATTTTAATCGCTTAGGCGTCTTATGATTTACTTCCGTGCTATCAGAAATAGCTGTTAAATATTTTATTTCTTCAGCTGCATCCGTAGCATCTGAATGAATTATTTCTATAATCAATCTTTTAGTGCCTAATAATCGCAGTATTGAAACAGCTGAACATATAAAACAACGATTATTTTTGAAAACTCTTACTGAAAAATATTGGTAAACATAATTGTCTTATTTAAATTAACCAATAATTACTAAGAACTTCGAGCCGTGTAACTCAGATGGCGCCCGCTGTAAATTTGACAGTACGTGAGCAACCCGAGTTCGATCCTCGCCGGAACCAATGAATTGCAATTTTAAGTGCTGATTTACCGCGTACTCAGGGGTGAAGAAAAACATCGTGAGGAAACCTGCATAGCTGAGAAATAAGAAAAAAATATTTCGAAGACATGTGAAGGTCGCCAACACGCATCGGGGCAGCGCGGTGGACACTTCCTTGCCCTAAAACCCTCTTAGAAATGAGGGGAGGCCTGTGCCCAGCAATGGGTCTTATGTAGGCTGTAACTTTAACTAAGAACTATAATCTAACATTTTAATACAGTTATAATTTAATTTGCTTAATAAATATAATAAACGAACTAAAGTAAATGACTTACGATTGTTTTTTTTTAAACAAAGTCGATATGTCGATATTTTTTTCGATATATTGGAAATCCGATATTTTAAAAATATAAACAGCCCTAGTTTGAACTGATCAGTTGGAATGATCAGTTGAACTGATCGTGTGTGTCGAAATTCTTTTGGATTAAATCCGTTTGAAGTCATCAGTTGAACTGATGTCAGTTTAACTGACCGTGAGTGGGGACCATTATTGTGTAAGTTGGCTAGTGATGTACATTTTACTTAAAAGGGCTATCGAAAAATGTTTGTTCAGACACCGGTATAAATACTAAAAAATAGTTTAGTGCACAGAACTGAATAACTTTTGTGCACTAATCTTTTAATTTCGTTTTTATATTGTTTAGGCTAAATATTAACAATTTTAAAACTTGCATTCATTAGGCTCGATCTCTGTCGCCTGACGTGTGGGCGAAGAACCGGTTTGACGGCTTGGGCCGGCCGGCGCTCATTTTTGCACGCGGGAGCCACGCCCTGCCCAGTCTAGAAAAATAATTGTCTCGTGACGGCCGGTCGGTTAATTTGCCTTTGGAAGTTAATATTGAATTGTAACGTCGCGTTAAATGCCTCTCATTGTGTTGTCTATTTTCGTTCGTTTTACGTGTCAACGAGGCTGATTCTTGAGTTTTGAGTTATTAATTTAACTTAGATTGACATTAATTTGAGTCGACGAGTTGCTTGTGGCATCTTAATATCGTGCGAAGGAATTTTGCTTGTCGTGTGCTCGATGATAATTTGTTGCTAAGTGAACTTGGAATATTGAACTTTGACCGACTGTTCTTTACTTGTGTCGTGTGTCACTTGTTTGATTTGGATTAACGTGGATTTAGTTAAATTTGAAGTTAATTAAATATACAATAAAGTTGATAAACTAATATAGTGAAATAAAAGTTGAAAGTTTCAATTGGTGAACGCCCATTGGAGGGATAGCACATTTGGAGCAAAGCAGCGCCTGTGGATCTGCGGTCCGACTTCATCGGTTAAGTCAGGTTACATTGTACACACTACTACACACTACTTACATACACCCCACTTGCCCCTGTGGTCAACCCTACCTCCGGAACTCGGTAAGTTGTTCTTGCTTATTTGTCATTAATTCAGAATTATCCATAGGCCATTGGGCCCCGCCCTCTGTTGCTCGTCGAGGTGATCACTCATGGGCCCTGGTCCAGTCGAGCTTTGTCGGGGCAACTAAGGGCGTGAACATTGCTGGTAGCAGAGCGTGGTTGATTGGTTCTCCAATCACGCCCGGCGTAATTATTAATTATAGTAAGTAGTATAGTAAGTATATATATATTATATTATTATATAAAAATAGTAGGTAATAAATAAGTACGTACGTAATAAAAATATTTTTTCCTTTTGTTTGCTTATTTTGTTTGTTAGCGGTGGGTAGAATTAGGAACCACGCCCTTTAGGCTGCGCAAGCAGGAGTTTAGTTTAGGGTTAGGTATCGTCACGCGTCAGGTATTTTGGATAGGTAGATAATTGTCGTTATCACATAATCGTATAATTATAGTAGATTAATTGCCAAAGGGTCGGTCGCCAGAGCGAGACATCTTTGCTGACCGATTGTAGTGTGTACTTGTAATTGTTTAAGCCCAAAAATGGGCATTTTGAGACGGCACCCTATCACCTTCGACTTTGTCGAATCACCCGATGGTGTCGAGGTGAGGTAATGCCGACGGCGGGGAAAGGCGGCCGCGTGCCGCGGGCAGTCGCTGAACACGCGAGCTGAAGACAGTGGGTGACAGTGGCTCGCTGGCAGCGGTGCGGTTAATCCGCGTATCTCGGTTATCGCTGCAGAAGTTTCGCGCGACCTGTGTATGGTCTAGATCGTTAGATTTAGTGCGTGTTACTTCGCTACGTAATCGGGGTTTTATGAATTAGGTTGTCTAGGGTTTAAGTTCATGACAAGAGGCTTGTGTTGTGTTTGATTGATTAAAGTCGTCTCCCGGTTGATTGTTTGGAAATCATCGTTTAATTATACCGTCGTGTTAAAAGCCTTTGTGTGTTGACTCTGTAGCCAGTTTGCGTGTCAGCTAGGTAAATTTTGAATTCTTATTGCGGCGTGGTGTTTAATATCGAACGAAGGAATTTAGTTGTGTTTGTAACGCTGAACCGTGTGACTCATGAAGAGATCGCGTTAGTTCCCTATTTGTAATTTGGTGTTAAATGATGTTAAATATGCGAAATGATGAATGATAGAGGAATAGATGTGTTTGGTGTTAAATATGCGAAATGATGAATGATAGAGGAATAGATGTGTTATGTGTAAATGAGACGAAACGAAAGGGAAGGGATGCCACTACACATGGCATGTATACCGCTTACTGGTCTGGTGTAGACGAGACCGAGCGGGCATGCCAGGGAGTTGGTGTCATCCTTTTAGTAATAATGGGTCAATGTGTGAAAGAGTATGAATGTGTAAACCCAAGACTGCTATGGATACGAATGAAAGTGGGCTTACAGAAGTTGTTTGTGCTAGGGGTGTACGCCCCAGACATGTCTAAGCCCACTTATATCTTAGAGCAATTTTGGGACATGGTAAGGATGGTGTTGATGAAATGTGAGGGAAATGAAAATATTATTATGTTAGGAGATTTTAATGGAAAGGTTGGGGTGAAGAGGTCTGGTTACGAAAGGATATTAGGAACGTATGGCGATGAAAGTATAAATGAGAATTTGAAGACCTCACCGTATGTGTGGAAAAGAATATTTTTCTTTCGCCACAAGAGGATTCACATGTATACATGGGAATGAGGGGATAATAGAAATATGATAGATTTCATAATTGTGGATGAAAGAATGAGGAGCGCAGTAGTAGATACAAGGGTTTACCGGGGGTCCAACGTAGGGACGGATCTTTACTTGGTCTTATGCTGAATTAATAATCTATTCAGGCGTTGGCGGCATCGGACATCTGCGTCTACCACTGCGTTACGGCGTATAAGAATAGAGAAGTTATAAGATGAAGGTGTGAAAGAGAAGTATAAATGTAGACTGCAATAAAATATAAGTGGTATGAATGAATTATGGATGAATGATTTGGACTTGAAGACTGTGTGGAATAATGTTAAGAAAGTTTTGGTGGATGCAGCCACCGAAGTATGTGGTGTAAGTAAGAGAACAAATGAAAGTTAAGTTAATAAGTTATGGTGGGATGCTGAATCTGAATGACAGGGTGAGAAATAGTGTGATAAGAGAAAAGTTTGGTTTGCAAAATGACGTTGTGACCAGGATTAAGAAAGGAATGCTTCGGTGGTTTGGTCGTGTAGAAAGAATGAACGAGGAAAGGGTGACAAAGCAAATTTATGTTCCAGAAGTGAACGGCAGCGTCGGGAAGGGACGCCCTAGACGAAGGTTTTCGATCAAATTGGCGATACATTGAAAATGGGCCAGATTAGGAGTACCCTTAACCGATGAGCGTGTAAGCGTAGATATATGGATGTAATATATAGATATATAGTGGCGAGAGAGGTGTGTCAGGATCGTGCCAAATGGAAGTCCGTAGTCTCTGCCTACCCTTCTGGGTGACAGGCGTGAGTGTTTATGTAAAACTAAATGATTACCAACTGTAAAGAATCGATATCGATTTTTCTAAAGAATCGAATATTGTACGTACCGATTTTTTGGTTGGCATACCTAGACCTAGTGCTATAAATCTGACAGCTGTCAAAAGGTCTGTTCGTATTTGTACTTACATCATACTTAGTGCTGTTAAGTGTTAAACATATTAGTTTGCGGTGTTAACTCCGTTTTATTTTATTGATGAAAAAGTGAATTCACTATAGGAAACAAGAATGGCCTTTAGTGAAGTTTGTAGAATTTGCCTATGTGTTAATGTACGCATGTTTATTCTAAAGAAGACTAGTCTCCGAAATTTGTACAAAACATTGACGAACTGTTTTGTAAGTTTTTTATAATTTTTTAATATTGCAAATTGAAGTTGCGGTAATTTGTTGTTATCGCCGGAGAAATACATTATACCTTGCCTGATATAAAATGCGATAGATCGGGGCTAGGCTAAGGTGCAGCGTAATTTTTTGCCAACTTTAATACTTCCGCAAAGTAACACCTGATTCTATTAATTATAACAATCTAATTGTTAGATGACCAAATCCACCTGGAACTTACTTCATATTGCAATTGATATCACATTAAAAAAAAGGTTAAAACTGCTAGGGGATGTATATTGTTATTAACTTCCATTTGAAAGTAAGTGACAGTGGCCTAATAGTTAAGGGTGCAGACTGCAAACTCAAGAAGGTAGTAAGTCCAAATCTGCCATTTGTCTATTGTTTGTAAATTACTCCTAGCGTGAGCATTCTCAGATTACTTGGAGAACATAAGAGAAGTTTTTGTAATGTTAATAGTGATGCTAGTAGTTTAATGTTAAAATTTGAAAGTAGGTTTAGTAAGATTGTGAAAGCCCAAAATTGAAAATACCTATGTCAGGGTTCTGAGAGTCTCAATCTACTGCTTTTAATATTATCTGTTAATGTCATGCAGACTACTACTTACTTGACACTCACATCATTTTAAATTAATTAGAGAATTGTGTCCATATATTAACCGCATGCAGAAAATTTGCTGATGATGTCATGACATCACATTCCCATGATTAGTAACACTTCACAAGAAAACATTGAATAATTTTGTAGTAAGAGCAATAAATATCAGACATTGCACAAGTGAGTGCATGACTGTGTTATTAACAGTACTAAGTAGGTGACCATGGAGCGCGGTCAGCGTATGCGAAAGGGATAGTCATAGGCAAACTTTATGCAGAACTATCAACTGATGGAGAAAAATAAGAGCCAGTATAATAACAGGCTATGAAGCATTACATCTTAGTCTTTGTCTTAGTAGCCTTTGCACAAACTTCAAGTTCGTTGCTGGTGCCTATGGGCTGCAGCAGCCACTACCATCAGGTGGATTGTAAGTTTGTTTATCACTTCAATGTTGTAAAAAATGATGTTGATGAAGAGATTTGTGGTAGCCAATAGATTTTATTAGAAACTTGTATATTTAAGTAGTTTTCCATATTTATGTCAAACTTTCATATTTTCAGATGGATGAGGATGAGGAGCCCATAATTGCCTGTTTCATCTGTCATGCAAGACTCATTCGTTGCAGAACATTACAACAACAGGCTATTGAGTCAAAAGCAGTTCTGGAGCAGATGCTTACAGGAGGGTCCATGGTATTATCCCTTCCATCCATTAAAATCTATTAAAATCCCTCATAGATTACTTCATAGGTTGGATTTTGCCAAATTTGCCAGGCTTGGCAGGTTGGTACCCGCAGTTTATATTATCTGAGTTGTTATCAGGAAGATGCTGCTGCCCAACTACTGTTACTGTTTGCAGCTCTGTATGCAGCAACTTCCAGAAATTGTCAGCAACACATGGGCCTTTGGTTAAACAACTGTTTATTTCAGGCAGGGCCTCCCTAGTTTGTCTACAGGCTACTAGATTTTTCCAAAGCTGAGCGTGTTGATTAGTGAAGTGTCTACGTACCAGTGAACGAACGTTACCAAAGGGGATTGGTATGATTGGGTCCGGTCCTATAGTGGCCAGAGCCGATCCTCTTCTGGCCAGTTCGTCTGCTGCATCGTTGCCTCTGGATCCACTTTGCCCCTTTATCCATTGCAGAGTCACATTGTTGTTTTTATATACCTCATTTAATCGTTGATGGCATTCATATATTAGTCCCGAGTTCAACACATTGCAACTCAGAGCTTGTAGTACCGCCCTACTGTAGGTCAGTATTCTGATGGGGAAGTCATTAACCTTCCTAGCATCTATTGCTGTGGCGGCTTGAATGACACCCATACATTCCACCTGAAAGACTGTGTTATAAGTACCCAGCGGTGTGCAGATGTGGATATTGAGGTCTTAAGAGAAAGTTCCAGAACCTACACCTTCATTTGTTTTAGAACCATCGGTGATAACTCAAAGCTCTTTTGGGCTTAATCCCTTCGGCTGGTTGGTTTAATTTAGTTGTATCTTGAACTTCTTATTGAAAACAAATTGTTTAGGAATCTTATCATACTAGGCTTGTAAGATAGGAATTTTTGAGTGAATTCTATCTATTATGCCTGTACTATTCTTACTCCAAAGATTTAAGGTCTTGAGTGTGATGGCAGCTAAAGTCGCTTCTTGTTGTATATGTAGATGAAGAGTGGTTAGCTCCAGCATCACTTCTAAGGCTGCTGTTGGTGTAGTTCTTATGCAACCTGTGGCAGCCATACATGCCGGTCTCTGGTAGCGCTGAAGCACTTTTATAGTGATGGCTTCATTTGTCTTGTTCCACCATACCAGAGCGCCATATGTGATTTAGGGCCGAATTACAGTTTTGTACAGCCACAGTATGATTTTTGGTGTCAGTCCCCATCTTTTGCCAATCATGTTTGTGCATTGCCAGAAAGTTACACTAGCTTTGTTGATTTTGTTTTCTATGTGTTTATTCCAGTTAAGTTTGCTGTCCAAGGTAAGACCTAAATATTTTACCTCAGAGTTTTGTGCTGAAAAGACTTGGGAGATGGTAGTTATTCAGCATTCGTTTTTGTGTAAACATTACTAGAAACGTTTTATTTGGATTAACGGTTAAATCATATTCCCTGCACCATCTCTCCACTATACGGAGAACCGCTTGAGTCAGGTCGCACACTATGCTTGCTGTCTTTTCAGAGCTCAGTATTGTCAGGTCATCAGCATAACCTACTGTGTAGAAGTGATTGGCATTTAATTTGCTGATGAGTTCATTAATGACCATATTCCACAGGAGAGGTGGGAGAACCCCACCCTGCTGGCAGCCTTTCTTAATTTGGATTGGTTCAGATTCACCAGCAATCTTTATTATTCGTGTACTGAGCATGTATACTATCCAGTCAATCAGTGCCGGTTCAACTTTATGTCTTGTCTGCACTTTTTATGCTGGACAAGTTTGTTCTGTCAAAAGCACCTTCTATATCAATGAAGGAAACTAGACATATTTCTTTGTTTTGGATGGCCTCTTCAATCTTTGTTATTACCTCACCAGGTAATAACAAAGATTGAAGAGGCCATCCGAATCTATTGATTTGCCTAGACTGTAGGCGTGTTGCTTGTCGTGTAGTGATAAGTTCATTAGCGCTGACCCCTTTAATTCGCTAAAGGCTAAAGAATGTAAGGCTAATGGGCCTGTAGGCCATTGTTACCACTCTCTGTGCTAAATTCCAGTCTTCTACTGTTGGTGTCAGTATGTCGTCATACCGGTTTGCCTCCTGAGTTACGCAGCAACTTCTTACTTTTTTATCTAGTTCTTTACCTCACCATAGTTGCTTTACCTCAGCATGTCTTGGTAGAGTGATTTCTGGACATGATTCATGCTAACTCCCTATCGTGGCCTTAGTAACAGCTGCTACCTTTTCTTCTAGGAGCGATAGATCTGCTATAGTATTTGTCGCCTCAAAACCCGCGAATCGAACGCGGTCTGAAAGAAGATGTAGTGACAAAAATTGAGAAAGGATCACAAACTCTAGTCCGGTCCTCTTACAAAAAGATGCACTAGCCTGACGAGGTCATGAGGGGGAGGAGTGTCTTCCTCCGGCATGTAAACTGAGGCGACGACTATTCTTTCCTCCTGTGTGTTTTGTAATGCTATGGCATACATGTTTCTGGAACAGAAATCTGTAAATGGTTGTGCACAGATATCTCTAGTAGTGTAAATACACGGTCTAGGCTTGTCGTGTTCAGAGCTGTAGAATACCTTACCTTTTAGGTTGTTTAGGCCTTTAATTTTACCAGCCCCAACCTACGGCTCCTGGATTAAGGCTATGGCCGTCCTTTGAACCTCCAACCACTTGCGTAATTGAGCCGACGTAGTTTCGCTGTGGTGGAGGTTGGCCTGCACTAGGCTAGTTTTGGACGAAGGGCACGCCATCATTGATCGCGTTCTCCCCGTCCCCGCCCAAAAATAAGCCTGCCAGCAGATCTCGGGTTTCATCGTTAGCCACCGAGTCGGAAGTGGTCGGGAAAATGCAGTCCTCTTCGTCGCTCAGTGAGTTGCCGCTGAACCCGATCTCTACTGGAGGCTTCGGCTCAATTATGTAGGCCATTTTTTCACTGGACTTGGCCTCCAGTGATTCCGCTGTACTGGTAACCATGGCTCCGGTATCCATAACTTCCGGGTTATTTTCTGCCTCTTTGCTTGGTGGAGTGTCAAAAAATTTACTTCCACGACCCTGGAATTTTACGTATACCGCCCCGCATACACATGCGAGGCAGCGTCCGGCTTTCATCAGGGTCGGGATATGATCCTCTGGCACCGAAACAACGAAGAACTACCCATCCCTCTGCTTATCTGCCTTGAGTAACAGCCAGTCCCTGATGTTAACCCAGCGGTTCTGGTACGCCAGCGCACTACCAATGTCGCGTGAGTCTTTCCAGGCTCCCTGGGCATCAGGGATAAGGATACCACATTTGACTCTTTGCGGTATCTCCGACTGTTTCTTTATGGTCAGCGAGGTGTTGGATTTAAGGTCGAGGGTAATAATATTCCCCTTCAATCAATCCAGAGCCTTCTAATCGTCGCACCACAGTTTCAGGACACCCTCCGTATAAACGGGTTAGTCTCTAAAAACTGGGCCCGACGCATCAGCGTCCTGGCTACTCCAGGCCTCACTGATCATCTTCCTCTGTATTGCCACGAGGATGTCGTCTGCTACTTCCTTCGTAATGTGACCTGAACGCGCACACGTTAAGGCCACACCCAAATCTGCTTTAGCAGCGGAAGCGTAGCTTGTTCTTGCAGCCTTTGGTTGCTGTTCGAGTCGCACTTTTTGTGCTCACCTCTCGGCGAGGTGGACTCTTCCAGCATCCTTTTGGCTGCTCTTTCCTTCTTACCAGGACGTTTGGCCGCTCGCTGCTTCCTGGCCTATATCTTAGAGCTGGTTCCCGCGACCGCGACTTCCACTTGGACTGGATTTTATCCTTCCCAGCTTCAGCGCGGCTACTGGTTCCAGCCCCAAGCACTAGCTAGCTTGCCCAGCCTCCTTAGTTTTAGTTTCAGAAGCAGCCAGTGCGGCTCGTTATCTTCGGCCTTTTTCCCGCTGCTTCTTGTTCTTCTTTTTAGACTTTCCAATACTGCCTGCAGGAATAGACCCTCCTGATGGTCCGTCAGATCGGAAAGTCACCTTTTTGGGTGCCTTGCCTTTCCTCCTACGGCTCACCACTTGCCAGGCAGCAGAGAAAAGGTCGTCCGTGGCTCCGCTGAAGTTTTGTTACTCGCGGGCTCTTGTTTCTTTTTTCATCCAGCTCCTTAGGTTTGGAACTGCTTTTGGAAACGCCTAGCGCGGAAGTTGTCCCCTTGGTAGGGCCACCTACTCTGGACGGTACTGTCAGTGGAACCGTCGGTTTAATGGCGGTTTCCCTTGTTCTTTGGTGTCTCTGGTAAGCACCTCTGACACCTCTCCCTCTTTCTTACTGGGCCTTAAATTGTCCATTATTTTTGTGTTTAAAATTCGTCCCCCCGGCTCCCCATCCTCCATGGAGCCCGCACCTTTAGGAACGCCCTGCTTTAAAAAAGAATTTCAGGCGTTAGGATTACCGGGAGAATATAGGGATGCGAAGTTGGCACACAGCGCGACATCTAGAGCTCGATCCAGCTGGTAGATGGGGCTGAAAAGGCCCATTCCCACTACCCGAATTAACTGTCACTTGCTCCGTTAGCATGGCCTTTACCACCACCCAGCCTCTTTTCATGAAAACTAGGCAGCTCCCACATCCTTCGCCTGCGACCCTCTGACGTAGCGCTTGGCCATTTCCCTATCTGTGGCTAGAAGATAGGGCCACCGTTTAGCTTGAAATCCGGACCAAAGAGGGCGTGTTACCTCTCGCCACTATGAACCCCAGCGACGATCGGCTCAACCCTCCAGTACTCCTTCATCCCCGCGTACAGCGCTCGACAGCGCATGTCCTAGCGCAGGTGGGTGTTTAGTCCACCGGATACACCCACTCTCTCCGGCGGAACCGTCCCCTCCTCCTTTTTCATCCGGGCTTGGGACCGGCAATGGCGGAGTTAAAAGTCATGCCGCCATACTGTCGGTCTACACATGGAATACTGTTCCCATCTCTGTGCATAGACTCCCCAGTGCCAGCTACTTTCACGTGACGGCATCCACCGCAGAGCGGCTTGAATCGTCGACTACCGAATTCTTTTTGATCGGCTGGACTGACTCACAGGCACTGCATAGAGATGTTGCATCTCTTTGCGTATTTTATCGCATCTATCACGGGGAGTGCTCTGAGGAATTGTTCGGACCAATTCCAACCGCTCAATTTCACCATCGCAACAGAACTCGAGATAGCATCCATACCATCTGGATGATTGTCGGTCCACCACTGTGCGATTTAGAAGTTTTCTTCCTCGCACTACTTCCTTGTGGAATCGATACGACTTAGGGACCTTCAAGAAAAGAGCCTACTCCTTCTTAAAAGGCCGGCAACGCATCTGCAATTCCCCTGGTGTTGCAGTAGTCACTTACTATCAGGTGAGCTACATGCTCGCTTGCCCCCTCTCCTATAAAAAAACATGGCGGCAACCTGCAGAACGCAACCGCGAGCGAAGCGTGAGTGATACCAGACTCCGGATCAGATAAAGGTCCGAAGAGCCGAGAGGGGCATCGACGGAAACCTGATATCCGTCCGGATGAGAGTTCAGCAGAAGGTCCGACAGAGAAGGTGTACGATCCTCCACATCTGGAATCCGCGTAGGCTAAGTAACCAGTTCTGTCAGACCATATGCCAAAGCAAAGTCATAAACAGATATTCCCGCACGATCGGTTAAACGTGAAAAATACGGCGTGGTGGTCGTTAAAATCGTCAAGGATGACGATCTCTGCGTATCAGCCGGAGAGCACACCTACGTCTCGGTCAGAAAGAGCAAGGCCGGCTTCGCCGTCTCGAGATGGTAGTGGACGGTGCTTAGGTTCGAGTGAAGTCTCATGATGTTGCAGAAACTCACGAATAGCGTGGCAGGGGTCGCCTTGGTCTTGTTGCTCAGTTTTCCTCGAGCAGTTATAGTGTGGAGCGGAGTAGCATGGTCGTGGATGTTCAGCGAGGGATTCTCCAGGGGTGCATGTACCCTCCTGTGGTAGTCTTTAATTTAATTCCGCGTACCATATTGATGGGGGGTAATTGGGCCTCCAGCCACCTGACTCACAAGACGAAACGCATAAACAGAGCTTCCACTTCACTTCTATGTCGTTATTTCAGTTGAGTTTACTGTCCAAGGTAAGACCTAAATACTTTACCTCAGAGGATAGCTGTAGTTTTATGCTGAAAAGTCTTGGGAGATGATAGTTATTCAGTATTCGTTTTTGTGTGAACATAACTAGGACCGTTTTATTTGTATTAACGGTTAAGTCGTATTCCCTGCACAATCTCTCCACTGTACGGGGAGTTGCTTGGGTCAGGTCGCACACCATTCTTGCTGTCTTTCCAGAGACCAGTATTGTCAGGTCATCTGCATAACCTACTGTGTAGAAGTGATTGGCATTTGATTTGCTGATGCGTTCATTATTGACTTATTCCACAGGAGTGGTCAAAGAATCCCACCCTATGGGCAGCCTTTTTTAATCTGGATTGTTTGAGATTGTTCGTGTACTGAGCATGTTTACTATCCAGTCAATCAATGTCTGTTCAACTTTACGTCTATTGAGTGCACATTTTATGCTGGAGACGTTCGTTCTGTCAAAAGAACCTTCTATATCTATGAAGGAACCTAGACATATTACTTTGTTTTGGATGGTCTGTTCAATTTTTGTTATCGTCTGATGAAGTGCCGATTCTGTCGATTTACCTAAGCTGTAGGCGTGTTGTTTGACGTGTAGCGGTAAGTTCATTAGCCCTTTCACACATCCTCTCCATCGTATTTAGGAGAAAAGATGTGAGGAAATGTGTCTGTAGGATTTAGGGTCTGTGTATTCACTCTTACATGGTTTGGGTATGAATGTGACTTTCACTTCCCTCCATCCCCTCGGAAGATATTAAGAGCCAGACAAGCTCTCGTCATGGCAACAAGTCTGACTATTAGGGCTTTACTCCCCCACTGTAGGAGTGCCGGGAATATGCCGTCAGGTCCTGCCGACTTATAGGGGAGGAAACTGTGAGTGGCTCAATGGATTTTATCCATTGTTACCACTCTCTGTGCTAAATTCAAGTCTTCTGCTGTTGGTGTCAGTGTATCTTCATGCCGGTTTACCCCTTGAGTTATGCAGCAGCCTTGGAACTATTGATGTTGAGTAGCTTCCGTCTGGTTTCTTTAGAGAGATGGATTTCGGCATGTTCACGGCCCACGGTATTATACTTGTTACTAATAAAAGTTCGCTGCTTGATGATTCATTTGCTACTGCAAAGTTTAGTTTAATAAGTAGTTAGTAGGAGTTAAACAGTAAGTTAAATATTTATTTGTACAAAAATAATTATCTAACTGTTTATACTGTTATATATTACTCAGTAAACAAAGATAGATTTCTGTCAATTTGCAGCAATTGTGAATGTGATTGGAAAAGTTGTTGAGACTTGATTCTCGGCATGGATGAACTATATATATTTTTATTTAAGTTTATTTGGAAACCTCACTTTTGTCCGATTTTTATTATAATTTAGAGTTGTTGTCAGGAAGATGTTGCTGCTCATCTCCTGTTTCAGTTTCCCTCTGTCCCTTTTTACGACATCTGCGGGATGGTATGGTAGTGTGGATTCTCTTACAACACCACTACGCTGGCTTTTTCTCTTATTTAACAAAAGAATTTGGTTTCAGTCAATAACAAAACCGCATGAGGCAAGAGATAAGATTCAATTCACACCAATTAGTCATATAGATATCAGGTCAGTCGAGTGTGATACTGATAGAGAAAATGATTGTAAAGACGGAATTTTTAGCCTTGAATTTGTTAAAGTTGAGGAAGAGAATTTCGAAAATGAGAATTCCAAATTTGAAGTGAGTGGGAATCATGAAGCAGGTAAGATTTACACATTTTGTGATATTATTAAAATAAGGTACAATTTACCGAACGGCAAGTGATTCCTGTAGCCCATGAACTCAAAATACAGAGGGTTTCATATGCAATGTACTGATTTGAGTTTGTCTAAATTCAAAGTGCACGTTAGAAGCACTCTTATGGAGACAGAAAATTACAAATTAAATAATTGTTTAAAAGATAAGCATGTATGGACATCATAATTAAAAAAAAAGTCTTAAAATCCTTAGAGGGAAACTATATATAATAGTGACATATTGGGGCGGATTGGGCCGTGTGTTCCAGACGGGTACCAATTTACTCGACAAGGTGCCTTTAACGCGAACGTTACGCATTCTTAACGGCGGGTTATCCCATTATTGGTTCTTGTAAAATTAACTTTAACTTTAAATTGTAAAATTTCTATATTTAAGCGAAGAAAAAATATCTTATAGATACATCCTTTATTGAGTGATATTAAAGGTTCAAAACACGATATATTTTACTTCGCTCGATTGTAAAAAAATCTGAAACAGTGTTTATTTTAAAACCTTTTTTCGTTTTACATCGTAATTACAGCACGAAATCAAATTAAAATTGCATGTACTTAAAGGTAATCGAATCGTAAAGTGATTTTAATGGATAATTTTGGAAAATCAATAGTTTCGTTAAGAATTAAAAATTAAAATAGTAAAACGTCTCACGCGGAGTCGCGCACCTCGCGCTTATTGTCATGCCAGACGTCGTTAAGGGTCTATGCAAACAAACAGCTTATCTTGAGAATCCATCACCATCAGAGCACTTGTTTCACTGTTTCCACTAATAGTTCACATGCGTAGACACTTAATACACAAAATCGCACCACTTTTACATATCAAAGTCCACTTCAAACCATTATTTAAACAATAATACAGGAGCAGCAGACCGCCGCCGGTCAATTTCCCGCCAAAACCACAGTGACATTTTGTTTAGGCTAGTGTTGGCATAACATTAAATGGAATTGTTCCATAGTACTATGATTGAGATAATGTATTATTGTAGGAAATTATTTGTAAGAGACTTATTCTCAGCCATATCACTTTTATTTGTATTATTACTGATAGTACAGTTATTACTAATAATAACTTAATATAAAAATATTTTGTGTGTTGTGTTGGTAGTCTTACAAAGTGTATACGAAAATGGTATGAATATACTAAATGGCAACACTTGAATAGAGTAATATGATATAAGTCATTTGATATTCCCAAAAATGTTTGTTTTTTTCTGTGGCTTTAATTAAAATACAGTTTTATTTGAAAAATCATAGAAAAATAATAAAACTCATTTTATATGTAACTTATTTCTAGACGCCATAATTTTTGTCAACTATTTTTCTGCCATTGCTCTTTGAAAAACAAAACACATCTGGTGACCACAGTAACATATTCTAAGTAAATCAGTACGGCCGTTATTGTTTCCGAAAATGTATTTCTTTTGTAACAGTATAAGCGTACAGTACGACCATTATTAGTAGGCGAAGATGTGTCTAAGTTATTTTAGCAGGTCTATGTAAACAAATAAAACAGACTATTGATTACAGAGCATCAATAAATACCCCGCTCTGAGAAAGGTATCTTAGCACATAAAAATGCACAGAAGAATATTAAGTACCCAATTTTTTGTTTTTTTTACATGGGGAAATGCCTCCGCATATCCGTCTCGCGGGGCAAGGACAGGTACTTTGGTTCCTGTTAATATTTAAACAAACAACTGTACAAAATCCATGTTTTGTACTAACTGTACAAAATCCATGGGATAAAATGTGATGATGAATTCTCTTATGCTGCACTTTACGCCAACTTCGACTGTACTGTGTGTATAACACTAGTTCTGTGTGGAATTCGAAACAGCGATTATTAGATTATTGTAATTATAAAATGGTCAGAAGAACCATTATTCCCTTCAAAAATGACTATGAGAGACATTATTCAGAGTAACTAGCTAAAATGCTTTATATCTAGTAACATTATTTAGTATAATTATGTAAAATATCATAATTTCTTTATTTCTCCCTGGGTTAACTGATAGAGAATGCCACAAGCGTTGAGTTATATGTACTACGTACTAGAGAAGCCATTCCGAACATAGACTATGTTCAACTGAACTGTAATGCAATCCATACAAACTAAATATTGCCTAAATTGAAGATTTGTGAATTCCATAAAATAATTATTATTACATTTTAATTAGAAATATGTTTGTTTAGATTAAATTAAGATATTTTATATTAAATTCTTATATTTATTTTATATTAATATCTTATTTTATATCAAATTAAAGTCTTCGCGCATGCGCGACTACTACTCCCGCGCATGCGCGAATACATAGAATAGGACACAATTTTTGTTTGGAATGGCTTCTCTAGTACGTAGTACATATAACTCAATGGCCACAAGGCATTTATTTACACTTACAATATACATATATGACATTGTCACAAAAACTTACACACTTTTATATTTTCTGATATGCATATCAATTACAAGTGTACATAACATTTATATACATTTATAAACCCTTCCAATGTAGACCGTTTATGGTGTCTTACAATAAAGATGCAATGTCTTACAATAAATAAAATGTTTAATTCGTGTATATTTCAGAACCGTCTGAGAAGATAAAATCAAATTCTACTGCTACTAACATAAACATAGTACGTGAAAGAAACCTCGATTTTGAAGGACCTACTATTAAATCAAACCCTAAAGTGAAAAAAGATAATCAATCAATTAATATAAAAGGAAAGCATCCTGAAAAGATAATGAAAAATAAAATTTTTAAACGAAAGAGTGTAAATATAATTACGGAAAAAACATCTGGAGCATCAACAAAAGACATTCCCGACAAACACATTTCACACAGTCATAAGACGGATAAGAATTCAGACACCACTGCAGTTCGGATACAAGTTGCACAAACTCCAGTACCACAACAAACAGAAATATTTAATTGTGATATTTGCGAATTTAAAACAACCCAAAAACGTTCCATTTTGGCACATCTTAAAGCGCACGTCGCTAAACAAATGTACTGTTGTAATAATTGTGAATATAAATGTATTAGAAAAAATGAATTGCAAAGGCATATGAAAATACACACCGGAGAAAAACCTTTTTCGTGTAATATCTGTGAATATAGATCTATTACAAAATTTCATTTGCAAACACATATGAGAATACATACCGGAGAAAAACCTTTTTCGTGTAATATCTGTGAATTTAGATGTAATAGAAAATTTCATTTGCAAACACATATGAAAATACACACTGGTGAGAAACCTTTTTCGTGTAATGTATGTGAATATAGATGTATTACAAAAAGTTGTTTGCAAATTCATATGAAAATACACACCGGTGAAAAACCTTTTTCTTGTAATATCTGTGAATATAGATGTACTACAAAAAGTTGTTTACAATGGCATATGAAAATACATACTGTAGAAAAACCCTTTTCATGTAATATCTGTCAATATAGATGTATTAGAAAAAGTTGTTTACGAAGGCATATGAAAATACACGCTGGAGTAAAACCTTTTTCGTGAGCTTTCTTGCAAAATATGTACAATATTATGTGTGAACGTGTTTTATATAAATATAAAAGTGTACCAGATAAAATCTATTTTTGGTGTATTTCTTGTGTAGTAACGAGCAGAAAAATCTTTCCGTGCCTTATGTGCTAATTGAAACTGCATTTATTCTGTAGAGCCTTAATTCAAAAACCAAAAAAAATGGAACCTTAAAATAGGGTAAACAGTACTAATGTTGGCACTCCTACTATGATTGGCACTTTGCTATTTTAATCTGAATATTAAGAATGTTTTCCTTTTTCTATATCACAGCTACACAGATATTGCTAAGATATATAATTACTTATACTAACAATACACGTTTATATTTAAACCGTCAACTATTTTCCTATATGGGCTGTTTTATAAATGTGTGCGGACAAATCCGTTAAAATTTAACAAAAAGTTAAGGTTTTGTGGCTAGATTTTGAGACAAAATGTGATTTTTAGGTAAGTTTATATGCAAATTTCTGTCTATTTTAATCAATTAACGTCATTAAAGCATATTAAACGTTATTTTATCGTTTTGAAATAGAAGCATCACATTTTTTAATTGTGCCAATGACTATACTTTACTTTGTTCGACTTTTTTTTTTTATAGGATCGGGTGACAAACGAGCACACAGTCCACCTGATGGTAAGTGGTTGCTGCGGCCCATAGACATCTACATCTATCTTCGATTACGAATCAAAATGCAGATGCGTTGTCACCCGTAAGGACTAAGATGGAATGCCTCGTTTCCAGTAAAAAGGGTCTCCGGTTCTCTACACTAACCATACGAAACACAGCAGCGTTAAGCTGCTATTTTACGCTGGTATTCTGTGAAAGCGTGGTCCTTCCCCGGTCGAGCCGACCCATTCGTGCTACAACCATAATATAGCTGCAGCATGGCTCTACCACGTATAAACTATCGAAACCCGATACAGATTAAGATATTATTCTGGGAATTATAGGGTCCATGACCAGCATTACCTTATCATCAGGTATGAATGGCATTTTATGTTCTTTATCAGTGTCTAAAAATTCAGTGCTAATTAGGTGCCAAGTCTAAAAATTAGGTGCTTTAAAATTTACCCTCCAACGAACTGTTGAAACTGTTGCTAGCGATACGTTTTACCAGCAACGTAATGAATTTATTAGATATGCGATAAATATTAATAGCAAGGAATTAAGTGCTAATTAGTGCTGCAAGTATAGGCAATGACAAGGCGCCCCAGATAAAAATAAAGTTCTTATTCAAAAAATTATTCAGCAAAGCAAATGCAAAAGTCAGGTATTTGTGTTTGTGCCATCTAGCGTCTATCGTACTTACCACCTTGAGAGTCCATCGATTTTGATTTGATAAAATTACTAGAACTATAGAACGTTGTAGATGGCGAATTTTATTACAAAGCAATTTACTGGAAAGAAAATATTATCCTTTCGATTTAGCACATAAAGTTTAGGCTTCACATGTCTAGAAATAAGAATTGTAACATTTATTTGGTTGAAAATTATATTAAATAATATTATAAATCTATAATATTATTTAATATAATTTTCAACCATTTTCAAATATAATCATATTAAATCTGAAATACAAAAAATGCTGTTCATACCTTATAGTAAGGTAATGGTGGTTTTAAATCCGTTAATTTCCAGAATATTACCGTCATCTACATGCGACCTCAATAATTTTTCAGCACCTAATTAGCACTTAATTTTTAGGTACTGATAAGGAACAAAAATGCTGTTCATACATTATGGTAAGGTAATGGTGGTCGTGGAAATAAACCTATGCTTTGCTGCGGAGGCAAGGCAAACATGGCTAACGTTCTGTCCCGGCGAAAATGTCCTACTGGAGGTTAACATTTACAAAAAATATCGATTACCATAAACGTATAACAAGGCAGGCTAATAACCTATGTTTGAGAATACATAGAACAAACTATGGAAGAAGGAGTATCCTCTACGAGGGAGCTCAACACTATAACAAATTACCTAAAAACATTAAAGAAGCAAAATCCCTGCCCACTTTTAAGAAATTACTAAAAAGCCACATTTTAAAGGATTTTTCATAATAACTTAATATTCATAAACCACAAATCTAAATATATGAGGTACACATACAACTTAAATAATAATATTTACCATAAAACAATTGTATAGAAATAATGTATATATGTATTTACTGTTATACAATATATATATATATATATATATATATATATATATATGTATATATATGTATATATACATATATATATATATATACATATGTATGTGTTTGGTGTGTGTGTGTGTGTGTGTGTGTGTGTGTGTGTGTGTGCGTGCGTGCGTGCGTGCGTGCGTGCGTGCGTGCGTACACATTATCACAAATAAATTAATGACTAGAAAATATTACAAGCAAATTAACGCCTAAATATAATATATTATACTAAATAAATAAACACCAACTATGTTAACATAACACATAATATAGTAATAATTTTAAAAGATGAACGCAATGAAACAGTTAATGTGTCATGGGCCTTAACAAACAACTCGCCACATTCATTCCTATCATACTACACTGTTCCTGGTAATTATTACTAATCATATTATTAAGCACTCAATCAGTAATTAAGTTTTAGCGACCTATTATAATACTAACTCACTACGCCAATCGGCTTAATGTTTTTAATTAATAAGTATTTTCTCTGTAAGTGATTTGTAAATCTTTTGAGAAAATAAATGTCTTAAACCACAACCAACAAACAGTGGGATATTCTGTTGGTGCGGAGTGTGCGGAAAGATTTGTTTCACAATTTCCATAGTGACCAAAAACAGGCCCGCCTTCTAGCTGTTTCGACTACGGAATGAAGTCACTGGTTACAGGCTGTACCATCAAGTTATCTTGGCACATTGCTTGATAGGGAAAGCTTGCGCTTTGCCTTAGGAATCCGTCTAGGAGCGGCAATTTGTCAATTTTTCATGGGCGGCGGTAGTCACTTTCATGGGCGGCGGTAGTCACTTACCATCAGGTGAGCCGCATGCTCGTTTGCCCCCTATTCTATAAAAAAAAATCTCACCAGTGCCTCTGTGGTAGCAGTGTCGACGAGTTTGGGCTCCACGGACTTTCATGTAAGAAAAGAAAAAGAAAGTGCAGGTAAGTTTTCCAGTCATGGCTCTTTGAATGAAGTCATCCGAAGGGTTCTTGTCTCCATAAATGTTCTCTCGGTTTTAGAGTTTTTTTTTTTTAGAGATTTAGTAGTAGTGTAGTAGTTATTAGTTATTTTAGAGATATTTAGACACAATGGCAAAAGACTCAACGGTATGACTTTGGTCCCTTGGGAGAGAGTAAAAGCCCTAGTGTGGGATGCTACTTGCGTAGACACTTTGGCGGCCTCTTATCTCAAGAGTATCTCGTGTAGAGCCGGGGTGGCATCAGAGGCAGCTGAACTAAGTGGCGCAAATATGAGTCTAGAGAGATGACTACATATATGTGCCATTTGATGTAGAGACTATCGGTCCGTAGGGTCCACGTGCGGTGATGTTCTTAAAGGAACTGTATCCGCGACTGGTCGTTGCTGCTGGTGATAAGAGGGCTGGTTCTTTTCTCGCTCAAAGTCTAAGTATATCCATTCAGCAAGGAAACGCAGCCAGCGTTCTTGGCACGATACCACGGGAAGTAGGACTGTATGACATTTTAAATTTATAGTTATGTTTTTCTTTATTTATTTTTTTAATATTATGTGTAAGCTTTTAGCACATGAGTAAAGCAAACGTATCGTACAGAGGCAAAGCTTCATACAACACAAAGCTAATACAAAGATTTGCTCCGTGGTAGTGAAATATTAAAACGTGTGCAAGATCTTATATTTGTTATGAATAAATATTTGATCATCATCATCATTACAGTCCTTCACAAGTCCACTGCTGAACATCGGCCTCCTTTAAAGAACGCCACAAAGCACGGTCCTGAGCCAACTGCATACATCGACTTTCTGCACGTGTTGCCAGGTCGTCGTTCCATCTAGTGGGGGGGGGGGGTGCTCCACACCCCCCAAATAAATATTCGGGAGTCTATAAATATCAAGTAGACAAAGTCGGGCAACGATACGCACGTAATCCATGTTTAAAAGATCCACTTTAAATAAATACAGACGAATATGTAAACGCGTCATACTCGTGCACGAATAACTCGACGAGTTGCTCGTGCCGATAATTAAACGTTGCTTACTTTACTCTTTTGTCCCCTAGATTATTATATGTCGGAGAATAACAACAGGGGATTCCAATTTCGATCTTGGAAATACTTCAGGATAGCGTTAATTGTTAAAAATAATAAAAGTGTGAGAGCGGATGTTCAACTAGCTCTCTTGCTTACGCAGTTTAATCATTATCAGTAATAAGACAACGTAACGCACTATACATTCAGTATAGTGAAATTACAGTTCGACCACACCGTAACACGTGTCTGCCACAATCACACACCAGTGTAACGTGAGGTACGTAATTACATGATAACACCAAAATATGTCAACCGACAGCAACGCTACTTATCTCAATGTAACACAGGGCAGCATCGCAGCAACGCCAATTCTCCTTGCCTGCACTAGAAGAATTACAACAACAAACAGAACCATGACACTATCTTAGCACTAGTAGAATGACCACACTCGTTGAATGACTTAAGCGGAATCTCTCGCGAACGGCACCTACAGTGAACTTTATACTGCACAAACAAGTGGGAGTTTCTTGATATACCCTCATGTCCACCTCGATCCAAGTGATATTTTATAGACGTCCCGACATATATATTAAGAGTGAGTTTTGGCGGGAACTTAACCGGCGGCGGATTGCTGCTCCTGCATTATTGCTTAAATAATGGTTTGAAATAGATTTTGATATGTAAAAGTCTGCACATGTGAACTATTAGTGGAAACAAGTGCTCCGATGGGTATGTGAATCAAAAAATCAGGTGTCAGTCTGCTTAGGTATCTTGAGATACTATCGTCAACTGTCTGGTGGCTCACGTTGCCGTCATAATCTCTCAAAAACTACGCAATGGGACGCATGAACA